CGAGACCAGACTGTTAGTGAGCAACTGTTAAGATACAAGACTGTTACTGAGCAACTGTCAAGAGACCAAAAGCAAAGACAATATAAACACTAAGATGTGTAACGCCCATACATTTGAATGCGTCGCAAAATTTCTAGCCTGGCCTTTCATCTGGCCCTTGAGGCTTCGTACGGCATGCCTGCCGACTGGTTGTTCGTTCTCCAAAGACCAGACGAACGAATGCCGAAGTCGCGGCTTGCTGACACGAGCAACGAAGTTATGGCGACTAACTTGCTTGACTAGCCTGCTTTCAGCGAAAAGGTTTATAACTTACGATCGACGCAAAATGCTTGTGCTTTATCCATGAAATGCATGCTTTATTTAAATGATATATTACCATTGATACTAACGATAAATTTAACAGGAAGATTTCAGAATTAATAATTTTCACACAAGGCGCATCTTGTCGATAACTTCGATAAGAAAATAGCACACTTAGATTGATTTCACTTTAGTTTTTGAACAGTGTATGCTCGAGAAAAGTTTTTGTCTCACCCAATAGCGTGCAAGCACCTTTGGTTGTATGCGTGAATTACATATGCTTAAGAACTTAAGAACTTTAAATGAATGTGGGCAAAACTATTATAAATTTCTCTTTTAAAGTTATCAATGAGGTAAAACGTGTTATTACATTTAGCAATTTTGTCGTTAACGAACAATTTTCCATCTGTTTGGGATATGGCATTAGCGTGATATAACTTACAATTGTAATTAATTGTAGGCTATTTTATAAAAACTATGATTAAACCTTGGTATGAAACGATCGAAAAAGAGGAAATTTTTACAAGATCGATTAGAGTGATATTTATATTGATATTTTATTTGTATTTATTGATATTTATGATATTTTATAATATATTTATCATGTCTTGTTTATTTAAGATTTTTGGATTCAATATTGCGGCTTTGGAAAATGTGTTAGTATCAAGCAGATTTTGTAGGTACAGTGATAACAACTTAAGTCGATATTTTTTCATAAATAATTCCTGATTAAATTTAATAACTCTTAAAAGATTTGTGATTTTAGTGACTTCTTTGAAAATTGCAGAATTGATTTGATTTTGCATTTTATTGTTTTGAACAAGTTCATTGATTTTAGTTTGAATAGTTATTATGTCATCATGGTCTGGTGTTCCTGTGATCCATTTAAAAATTGAGCCTAGTTCATTGATACTACGTTCGGCAATTTTGTGAGGTGTAAGTTCAGAAAGGAGTGTTTTGATTAAATTCAATTCCAAGGTTACTTCCCAATCAATTGTATTGTTTTTGTTTTTAAGAAAATTTAATTCTTTTTCAAAAATATCGTTATATAAACTTAGGTTAGTATGCTTCCGTATGCTTCGTATAAAAAAGATTATCTGTATCCTCAAGTAGGACATTGTCATCATTTGAATAATTAATAATGTCTGCACCGCAAAACGGCAGTAAATGAGATAAGATACATAAAATGTGCATTTTAAAAATACATTAAAAAAAAACATAAAATAGGTTAGAATTTGATATTGTCTTTGTGAATAATACGATCCCTATTGTTTATTTTGGTTATATTTCCTAAGTCTTCTTTAACTACCTGTTTTTTAAATCTAGGTTGTAGTTTGTTTCGTTCGCCATGTTTTTTTTTTTCATAAATTATTTTACCTACTTGGCAATTTTTTGGAGACCTCTTTTTGTTATGGTACTCTATTGTCAGAAAAATTAAAATCAGCCCAAGCCAAAAAACATTTTGGCTCGACAACTCAACAAAAACCATGTGACATATTATTTAACAAAATAGAACACCCTAAATTGTCAGAAAAATTAAAATCAGCCCAAGCCCAAATGTTTTTTGTTCTATTTTGTTAAATAATATGTCACATGGTTTTTGTTGAGTTGTCGATTGAATTGTGTTGTAATACTCTTTAACTGCTCGGTATACGACTTCGGAATGATCCATTATATTGTATTCTTCTTGAATGCAACGGGAAATTTCGATAATTGTTGAATGAACTCTTTCTACCTGACCGTTGCTTAAACTGTGTCTGGGGTCTGCATAATAGATCGCTATACCTGAACGAGACACTGACGATTTGAATTGTGTCGAGGAAAACGTAGGTTCGTTGTCCATCATTATGGATTTAGCGAAAGGAAAAGTTTGGATAAGTTCCAACACTTTGTTTGCCATATCTGATTTGTCATTGATTTCCTTAATCACTAAAAATTTAGAATATGCGTCTAGGCATGTCAAGAATGTTAATTTTTGAGCATAAAAAATGTCAATATGTAATTGTTCACCTTCTCTCTCCGGAATAGGGGCTTTAGAAATAGGAATTTGCTTAGGGTTTCTGTTATATTTATTTTTATTACAAATTTCGCAGTAGCGTATGTGTTGCTAAAGGGTTTTATTTAGTGTTGGCCAATAATAGTATTTGAGAATTTGCTTACGATTTTCGTGTAAGCCTCTATGAGCACGAGCATGTGTTTCTTCTATTATAATTTCTTGGTTATTTTTGTTTTCGATGTCTACGGCAAACTTTTTAGTAAATAAAAATTTGTTAAAAGTGTTTTTTAATGAGTTTTGGATTTCGTGTAAATCTTCGAGACTGCAATGAACTCTGGTTTGGTTGAAGAAATTCTTTAAGTATGATTATTAAATTGTGTACTGTGTCGTATTCTATAATATGTCTTGTTTTGTTGAAAACTTCATATTTTTCATGAATTGTTATGTTGTTTTTAGAAACAAGTAATTGTTGTTTAAATTGGTTCAATGGTTTGTGTGTTTCTTCAATTACGCTTTTATAACTACTGTCGGCTGAATGAATAGTTTCATTATCGGACGACGGTTCTTCTTCGGACACGAGATTACTTTCGTTGGAAATATGATTGATCATTACCCTTGATAACGTGTCAGCGAGGACATTGGTAGATCCTGGTTTGTAAAATATTTTAGGGGAAAATTCTTCTATGAAAGCATACCATCTTTTCATTTGTGAGTTAGGGTTTCGTGCAGAAACTGCAAAAGAAAGTGGTTGATGGTCTGTTTGGATTTCTAAATTTATAACACCATACAAGTAGTTCCTAAGGTCTTTTAATGCCCATACAATGGCGTATGATTCCCTTTCATTTGTGGCGTAATTTATTTCTGTTTTATTTAAGGTTTTTGAAACAAAGGTGATTGGTTTGTTTTCCTGTGAAAGGACGGCGCCTAGGCGATGTCGGAAGCGTCTGTGGTGAGGACGAACTTTTTTGTATAATCTGGCTGAGTTAGTTCGATGTTTGCAATCAAGTTTGATTTTAAGTTTTCAAACGCAGAGATTGCTTCTTCGTCTAGAGATATTTCTGTTTTTTTGGACACATGTTTTGAAACCATACCGTTATGTCCCCGTAACAATTAAGTGAGTTGTTTTACTATAGTCGTGTAGATTTTTACAAATTTCCTGTAGTACCCTGTTAAACCAAGTAGCTGTTGGTGTTGCTGTTGAGTAGAGTCGACAGCAAGTAATGTGGTCAGTTGCGAGTTCGAACCCTGCCAAGGCATCTTTTTTTTGTTGATTTGTTTGGTGTTGGAATAAGAGGGTTCAGGGTATTCCTTAGTCGGGAGCTCCCAACTAGAACCTCTTACTTGTTGTTATTAATGTATCGATATATGAAAGATCTGTAGTCAGTATATCACCGATGTGTTCCTGGTTGAATACTTATTCTTATAGGGTCGTAGTCGTAAGTTGGTATCAGAATTAAAGAACGCATAAGCCTAAAGGGAGTAAATGTATCTTGGAAGAAATGCAATAAAAGTTTTTGCTTAAATATTAGAGGTATCTTTAATCGTGTTACTTGAGGTTGTCTTTATAGACCACCCCCTCTTTAATAAGAACCTTCGTGTTCAGTGATGATCGTTTCTTTCGTACATAATGGTGTGATTTTGTACCGTCGTTTGTTTGCTTTTAGCCATACTCGTTCTCCTCTTTGGAATTCCGCATGTGGCCTATCTTTATTTGATTGTTCAAGGCTCTTGTCTTGGGCTCTTTAGAGTTTTTCCCTTACTTAAGATTCTAACTATATTGCACTATTTCTATCGGGTTTCTATTAGTGACGGAATGAATGCTCCTTTTATCTGCAATGGTAGATAGGAGGATTAGATCAATAGTGTCGTCAGTTTTCTTTCTGTCATACTTTGTTCAAAAGGTCAGTTTCCGTAGCTAGTCTGTTCATATTAGAAAAGAAATAGTCACGCAATATTTGTTTGACATTTTTTTTTTTTGGGCAGAGCGGTGCGGTCTGTTGTGTTCGGTGATAACAATTTCCCTTTGTTCGGTTTTGTCGGTTATATCCGTTGTACAATTAATGAATCCAGTTATAGTTACGAGATTTAGAGGGAGCGACTGTTCTTATCGCTCCAGACACTTTTATCAATCTGCTTTTACATTTTGGTATTAACTATTACTAAGCCTAAGGCTAAGCAGTCCCTGGTGGCAGCGCTGCCCTTTGCAAATAAGTCGTTTTATATATAACATATGAAACGAATATATGTAGCATTTATGCAACAGCGAAAACTTCGCTGGTAGGATAGAGCGTGTTGTGCACATATATATCTTATGCAAGCGGTCACTGCATGGGACACATGCTGACGCGGCTGGTCTATAGTCGAGACACGCGTAGCCGATCATATTTCGGTACTGTACTTGAATATGCACTGCACTGAATATGACATATGTTTATGCAACAGAGAATAAGTGTCGTTGCATTCAAATATTTATGTTTATTGGTATATATAGAGTATATATTGGACATATTGCTGAGCACAGTGTTCTCTCGATATGTGCATACCACACCTACCTCTTTTTGAAAAATATCGTAAATTTATAAAGTTATTATTAATCTATGTATTTTAATAAATGTTTTGTTTTTATTCATAGAGAGTACATTTATTTCAATAGAGTGTTACGAAACTGCTTGTTTCTGGTTGGGCCGCGCCGGCTGGCTCCTCGGTTTCTCTGGGTGTAGTCCCAACCCTGGCCCGCAGTCCGTACAATCGATAACAACAAAGCTACAGCAAAACAGACTTACACAACACTATGCAAAACGAACCACAAATCGATAACACTAAACAATAGGAGCATCTTACAGATAAACAACATAAACAGCTGTGACGATAAGTAAATGTAAACAACAACGGTGAGACGTTAAAATAAACTAACAAATAATGAAAACGCTATTAATCCATTTTACTCTTCCAGATCGGGTCCCGGTTCCGGACCCAGCGTACCCGCCCTAACATGAGACGATCACCTACTTGTCTCCCACATTTTGGCCATTATATGGCCTGCATCAGCCTGTGCCGGCTATTACGGTACGGTATGTAATTGTTTGCATTCCTTATCGCGATTAACACTTAATCTTATTTCTTATTTCCCTGCAGGATACAGATCGGGCATTTTAAACAGGTGCATACGATAAGTTGGTATATTATTATATTTAGAACAAGTTATATTAATTTTTGATTCCAATTTTTTTTTTGTTACAGAATATATATATAACATTTCTCGCAACTTCCCTTCAACAGGTGCATTTAACGTGTTGCATCATTTCATATTCGTGACAATTTATATTAATCTTTAAAATCTTAAATTTAGTACAGAACGCATTGTTTTACAACGTTTGTACGGAACAGGAGGTAAAAACACGGTCAAAACTTATTGCCAGTCAACAAATGAAAGAAAAACAAGGGGAGACATATCAATACAGGTAATTATTACACCAACAGGGAGCAAGTACCCGCTAAGATAAATGCATGTATACATATCTGTTTCCAACAAAAGGCGTTATGTTCGTCAAAAGCGTTTAGATTACCGTGCCTGCCTAAAGAGCTCTCTGGGTGGGGCGATCATAAGGTGTCTTCTTCATCTGAGCATAACATATATTTATATATATATATATATATATATATATATATATATATATATATATACGTATACGTATATACATACGTATAATGCGTAAATTTACTTAATTGCGACTAGTCGTGACTAGAATTAACAATTTTAAAAAAATCTGTTCTTTCAGAGACCCTCAAATATGGGTCTGCTTCGGCCTCTCCCTTTTATTCGGGCGAGGGAAGAACGACGTGGAACGGACTCACTCAGTGATGAAGTAGGCGGGGTCTCGTCTATGGCCGCCTCTCGTCGTTAGAGTCCCGTCCGTAATGGCTCGTCTCGCCGTCGATGTCTGGCCGTGTTTGGAAAATCTGGCCCGCAAATATCTGGGTTGATCTGGCCAACGTCCTCCGGCGCTGGATTTAGACGTTGTCTGCCACCAAATGGCTGCGGTTGCTCTAATGGAGTACCCCTTTTCTTGTTGTTTTAAGCGCCGCACGACGGTGTATTATTGTTCTTGTGTACTATTGCTTTTTGCAATACGTTAACAGTTAAGGAATTTTTTTTTGCAATTCAATAATAAAAATAGCAAAGAAGGGGATCACACGGTATGATTAACTCGCTCGCTCGCATAGATCTGTGGTGCGTAGCCTCCAGGGCGCATGTGCGAGATGTTGTTGTCTTGTTTTGGAATGCACTGGACATCAAGTGTCATCCGTTGTCAGAGTGGATGACCTCGGGTACTCCAATCTTATAAAAAACCTCGCTGACCCAAAACTCAACCACGTTAAGAGCCGTAGCCTCCCGCATCGCTTTCAAGAAAGTGAATTTTGAAAAATGGGCGACTACTACGAAGTGGGTACTTTCCCAGAAAGTCAATATATACTTTACCGGTCATTACCCCTTCCTTGCATGTCACACACTGTCTCACCCAATCTGTTACCTGACTACCCATGCCGGACCAGTAAGCCGCCTACGTAAAGTTTCGAGCGTTTTCACGACACCCCCATGACCAGCCGTCTCATCTACTTGAGCCTATTAAGCCAGCTGTCAACGAGCTTGGCACCCATAACTTCCACACGGTGCCTTTTAACTCGTCTACCAAGTGGACGAACCCCAAACGCTTGAAAAGTAAATTCCCTTCAACCTTCAGATCCGGTAGTTTGTCCTGATTCGAACGTACTCGTGGTCTCAAATTCGAGGAGGTTTTCCGTAACCTTTCCCACGGCTCCGGCTTGGAAAAATCCGCGTGCACCAGTACTGGGGCCGTGATCAGGGCGATCTTCAATTGTTCAACGGCTCGTGTTGCCTCGTCACTCAATACGAACTCTCCGCTATCCATTTTTAACATTTTAGTCAGTGGGTCGGCCATTGCCGCGAAATCTCGCATAAAGCGCCGGTACCAACCTGCTGTACCCAAAAAAAAGCGAACCTCTGCGTGACCGAGGCACGGGGCTTCGTTTAATAGCTATAACCCGTTCGGGGTCCATGCAAAGCGTGCCACCACCAATAATGAATCCTAGGTATTTTAATGCCCGGAAGCAACATCTGGATTTTCGCAGTCCAATAGAGAGTTTGGCTGCTCAAGCATTTGCGTGGGGAAATCAGGGGAAATAACTAATAAGTCGTCCAAGTACAGGAAGACGTTGGACCGTAACTCGTTGGGAATTACCTTGTCCATCAGATGAACTAGACGTTGGACTGCATTGCATAAACCAAACGGCATGACGCGAAACTAGGGGCTTGCTTTTTTCGTCTAGTTCGACCTGCTAATATGCGAACTTCAGATCCACACTGGAGATGTAGTGGGTCTGGTCTAATCTTGATAGGATGCCTTCTATACAAGGTAGTGGATACGCGTCTTTCACCGTCGAATTATTGAGCTTGCGTGCATCGAGGCAAAAACGGGTTAGAAATACATATTTTCTGCGGAGCCAACCTCAGTACACAAAATGCATTCATATATCAACACAAATTTGGGATAGGTAATGAAATTGCGTAAGAAAACTAACAAAATTAATTTCTTGCCAGCTAAAGCCACAGCAATGAATAACAACACATACATAATACTTTATAGTTCTTATGCATGTATAATTCACGAATACAACGAAAGGTGCACGCACGCTATTGGCTGAGACAAGAACTTTTTTTGAGCATACACTGTCCAAAAAGAAAAGTGAAATCAATCTATGTGTGCTATTTTCTTAACATAGTTATTGCGCAAGAAGCGCCTTGTGTAAAAATTATAAAAGTTCTTAAATTTTCCTGTAAAATTATTTGTTAATATATAGGAAAATATATAATTTAAATAAATCATGCATTTCATGGATAAAGCACAAGCACATTGCGTCGATCGTAAGCTCTAAACTTTTTCGCTCAATGTACTTCGAAAACGAAGCGACGCAAAGTAGCATCGTCCAGCTTTGCTGAATGCAGGCTGGCGACAAACTTCGTAGCTCGAGTCAGCATCAGCTAGCCGCGACTTCGGCATTCGTTCGTCTGGTCTTTGGAGAACGAACAACCAGTCGGCAGGCATGCCGTACGAAGCCTCAAAGGCCAGGCTAGAAATTTTGAGTCGCATTCAAATGTATGGGCGTTACTCATCTTAGTGTTTATATTGTCTTTGCTAATACATTGTAATGTACTCTGAAAATATAGAACAGAAGAAAAAATAACCTGCAAGCGAAGAAATGTGTTTTTTTTTTCAAACCTTTTTAAGTAAATTTGTGCAGCGCAGAAACGCTCCCCCAACGATACAGAAATTCGTAAAGTTCATCTGGAAGCCCTGCGGACGCCCTACTACATCATTTAGTCCTTCGAGCCGGATCTCTCAACATTTGGCATATCCAGTTCGCCCCAGCAGGCATTGGTGGATCTGCAATAAAAGGTTCCAGGAACAGCTACAAATTCAAACAAGGTAGAAGTGCACCTACCTCAACTCGTCCATTGCCAAATTTCCGGCAACTCCAGGCCGATTAATTCATATTTGTGCGTCTGAACATATTTTTTTGCTTCACATTGTCCGTGGTTAAAGCGAGTGGCAATTGTATTTAAAAAATTAAAAATTGCAAATAAAATATTGTTCGTATTCATAAGGGCATCTAAAAAGTGACAAATATTAAAACAAATAAAACAGAAAGTGACTCCGATATGGTCGCCATATTGGTGTCTGTACATATGTATGTATATACATATATGTACAAGTGCATACCCAAATATTTAACCGATCGCCATATTGATGTATGCAAGTACATCAAGACATATCTGCACACAGGCTTTCGCTCCGTCGAACAAGTGTATGCGCTGCTCCATTCTAACCTTCACCAAATAATCACATACCTATATATAAAAAAAGACACACAATTCTGATTGGTATTTAGTTAATTAAAACCACACTGTGCAAATTCAACTGCATGTATACACACACACGCACATCATATTATATGTGTATCGTTTGCTATTTTTCCTCCACAGCAGCTTCAAGATCAATTTATATATTTAATTTTACCAATTAATTGGCAAGTGCAAAAGGTAAACAAACATCAGGGTTGTAAAGTATCAAGAACGGTTTTCGATAAACTGATTCTGAGAAACTTTTATATATTTGTATGTTTCCACTTTGCCATTGAGCTGCGTTTACTTAATAAAATACAAACATATGCATTACTTTTCTTATGCTTATAAAAATTTATGAATCATAATAATAAGTTAAGACGTTTCCAAGTTGCGTAATAAATCGAATATCCGTGCGATTTTTCTTAAAAATAACAATTTATACAAATAATTCTATGACAAAAAACCTTCCATTGAGCTGCGTTTAGAATAAGTAATAGGCAATAAGCATCAATTTTTTTTGCGTAATCCGTTTCCCCTACACGGCGGCCTTGTCAAAAGAGAATTAATTCTCTGGTATTTCAATAAAGAAATAATAAGATTGTTTCTCAAGTAAAGGAAGCTAAATAAGCATCAATTTAGTAAATTATTAGAAAAATAATTAATTTAACACAATTTTCCGATTTCGTTGGAGACAATAGGGAACACCATTTCGGTCATTCCATTTTATTCTGATATCTCGATTCCATCGTTCCTGTGCCATTTCTTATTCCGTTTTCGCTCGGCTGATTCAAATTATTTGTATTTGATCACATTTCACCTGGTTATTACAATTTTTGGTTCTGGGAAGTAGTATGCCAATCGGCGGTAATCAAAACAGCCACAAGCGACTCACAGCACCGTCCGTTAAGGAGTCAAAGCGACCTTTAACCTCACCTAGAGCAGTTTTCGGGAAACTCAAGGTCAAGAGTACCAGCACAACCGTCCGCAAGACTGTGAGTCCGATTCCAACAAGAGATATTACCCCAAAAATTACTCGTTCGACAAAAAATGCAGAAGTCAAGCAAAATGGCACTGAACGACTTCGTTTCTATAACTGACCGACTAGGCCAGTTTGAAGTGAAGATCAATGACGCAGCGGACAGTGACGTGTCACTGTTCACTCTCCAAGTCCGACGAGATCAGATTAAGACTTTATGGGAAAAGGTAGAACGCGAGTACGAGTTATGTTCCAAAGCTCTCAACAAAGGCGCTTGCGGCAGCAGTGACCTGGTGGCTATGCAAGCTAAATATGATTACTCGTACTCCGTGCGGCTAAACTAAGTGCAAAAATAGAAAGAGCCACGGCTTTAAATAGACAAGCTGAGCAAACCCCCTACAACTTCTCCATGTCCAGGGGTTGCAGTCTCCCGCCATGCGACACTGAAGTTTTCAGTGGGGATTACCTACGCTGACCTACTTTCCGAGACTTGTTTACAGCGGTTTATATTAACAATCCAAGATTGACGCCGGTGGAAAAATTGTTTCATCTAAATTCCAAAACCAGCGGCGAAGCTAGGGCAATTGTCTTCAAGTCCCCGCTCACGAATGACGGCTTTCAGTCAAAAATCTATTTTATAAGTCTACATCGACCTCCAAATACACCTTCGAAGAGCTTTCCACGCTCCTATCCAAAGTTGAAGCACGCCTGAATTCAAGACCGATATCTCCAATGTCAGAAGATCCTACTGATCTCCTAGCTCTGACTTCCGGTCATTTTCTAGTCGGCGGTCCTCTACTTTCCGCCACAGAGCCAGAGATCAAGGAAAACGTCGCGTCCATCATCAACCGCTGGCAGCGCTTGAGGGCTTTGCAACAACAGTTCTGTCTCCGTTGGAAACATGAGTATCTTTTAGAGTTACACAAAAGAAACAAATGGCAAACTCCAACGCGAGACTTACAACGGGACGATAAAGCCATCATTAAAGAAGATAATCTTCCAGTTAATGACTGGCGACGACCAAAGAGTCCGAGTGGTCGTGTTATGTCATGTTAACAGCCCGAGGTGTCTCCAAGAGACCTATCTCTAAGCTAATCCTGTTTCCGATAGAATCTACTCTCCATTCTCCATCCAGTAGAATCTCCAGTAAAGACTAGAATCCTAGATCCATAGGTCTGCGGACCATCCGTATAAAGCCGCATCAGTAATGTCTATTATGTTTTTTTTTTTTCAACCTTCTTCACGTAACAGCACGATGGCTCCACGCCAACAACAAGGCCGATCCAAGAGCCGACCGGCAACGATATCGTTCCGATGCCGAGTATGCCGAGTCCACGCGCTGCGAAAGTGCCAGCGGTTCATGCGACTATCTCCAGAGAAGAGACTCCGAGCAGTTATGGTCAACAAATACTGCCCAAACTGCCTGGATCACCAACATTCCGGGGAGTCCAGTCCAAGGACAAGTGCCGCAAGTGCCAGGGCGACCATCACACCTTGCATCATTTCCAAGAAGCGCGTCGCATGCCATCGCGATCTCCAGAGCGATCCCAAACTATGCGCAGCACCAAGGCCGAAGCGCGATGCTCCGCTCCGCCTTCATCCGCTGGTTCCATCTCCTTGTCGACTTTAATGGAACACAAAAGAACAACCGTGCTCCCGAGAGCACTCATCCGACTTGGAAATGGCAAGGCGACCCACGACACTCGGGCACTTTTAGACCCGTGCTGTCCGGAAAGTCTTATCGACGCATCCTTGGCTAAGGCCTCCGGGCTATCCGTCACCCGCGTCGGTAAAGACAACGCTTGCTCGGCCATTATAAGTTTCAGGACCTCTAGCTTTCAGCGAGATGTCATCCTGCAGGTGATGGCAAATCTCCGGTATCGAACTCCAACGATGCTCGTCAGCGAGAAACTGAACGAGCCTTTCAACAACGTTCGATTGGCAGACGATCGCTGGTTCCAGCCGAAAATCTCCAATCTGGTTTCAAGCTCGAATATCTACCCAGACTTAATTCTCCAAGGCGTCCTCCCGAGCCATGGCGGCGCACCACTGGCCCAAAACACGGTCTTCGGGTGGATACTTTCCGGCTCCTGCGCTCACCAGTAGGAACAGAGCCACTTCCCTCTCCCTTTTTCTTTTTGCAATACTGCAAGGCGGGCGGCATGTTCACACAAGAAGTGTACTCGGCAGTCGCCATCCAACCGCCATGTAACTCCGGAACCAGTACATGGAACATGAAATTCACCTCACTTATACTAATACATTGTAATGTACTCTGAAAATATAGAACAGAAGAAAAAATAACCTGCGAGCGAACAAACGTGTTTTTTTCAAACTTTCTTAAGTAAGGCATTAACTTTTTTATGATATTCTATTTTACGGTTTTGTTTTTCTATTTCTATCATGAATATCTTTTATAAGCTTACTGTAATTTAAATTTGAGCTACTTTGCATAGTCATCTAAATTGTATATACTCTGTCTCTATTTTCGTTAAAGTATTGAGTTCTTTGAATTGTCTGGTAATCTACCGTGAACAAGCTCATACGGATAGTTATCATGTACCGTTGATGGAGTGGTGTTAAAACAATGTGTAAAGTAATTCAACCATTCGTCCCAATCAATTTTGTCAATCGAATGTATTCGTTGTATGTTCGATGTATGTATGTTCTACTGTTCTTAAAGTCTGGTTTTGATGTGATGTTGATAATTTGCACAGGTCATTAATTTGTGAATTTTAATACTCAGTATCCTTGTCTGATATTAACATCTTCATAGGACCGTAGTTTAGTACAAATGATTCAAATATTATTTTGGATACTGTCTTTGCGCTTTTATTTGCAACTAGATATTTTGTAAGGTCGCATATTATAGTTATTGCATACTCATTGCCATTCTCAGTTCGAGGTAATGGGCTGATGGTATCAATTAAAACAGTGTAAAAAGCTGTGTTTGGGGTGTTGGTTATAATCATTGGGGCTTTTGTATGTGTTGTAGTTTTAGCTCTTTCACAGTCTAAGCTCACATTTACATAGTTTTTTTTATGGTTTGTGTCATTTTTGGCCGACAGTAGAGTTTCTTTATTTCTGATAGGGTACGCGTAATCGCTGCTATTTTTATATTTAGTAAATTTTTGTTGCCCTCATTTTGAAATTAATTTAGCGTGACAAATTCAAAATTTTGTTCCATTGATGACATCTGTAAGTTAATGATATTGTGTATCCTGGCTTCTGAAATAAGCCTTTGAAAAAATGTACCTAAATCGCATTTTTCTTTAGATTATAAATCTTTAACTGAAAATAGTGAAATAATCTGGTTTCCTCTTTTGAGTATACATTTGAGATTATTCATTATTATGTTTAGAAATTTCTTTACGTCGCTATTGCTTTTAGACATTGGGCTCATATATTTTATCATTCATTTTAATTTTTTCATCTGCGCAGATGTTTTCCTGTCTTTTTGACGATCTTATTTGGACCATCAAAATGTTTATATTTATTTGTATTAAGTCGAGATAATGCATAACGTGGTTACTTTTTTGTCCTTTAGGTATTCAACTTTTAATTGATACTCTTCTAAGTCCAATCTCATTCTTGTCAGCTTTGAAGAAGGATTCTTTATTGCAAATATATAAAATTTATAAAAATTATTGGTTGAAATTGCTTCTGTTTCTAGACTAAATATCTCACAGCATTTAGTACATACATACATAAATGGGATTTTGGGATTTTGAATTTTTATATGTTGACAAGTTGTACTTAAAATCCGGACTATTGCGATATTACTTGTTACGATACTGTTTGCTACTTATTATTACCCCACTCGTTTGGTATAAGAACTGTATCTTCATTTGCCGGAAGCGTAATTTTTCTCTTTAAATCTGATTGAGCTGTCAATATAATTGTGTTAAAGCGGCACATGTATTTCATAATTAAATAATTCTGGTTTCATGATGAAATCTTTTATGCAATTGAATTTTTTGATGAAGTCGAGTCCATGTCAATTGAATCTATTGCAAGGTATGGGAAATTAATTGCGGACTATTTGGAAATTGTGACTGATTACGAAGTAATCGAAATGTAAATCAATTTTGGATTGTCCAATTGACTCTAAAATTTCTTGACCAATTCCTGTGATAATTGTTTTGTAGTCTTGATTTATATTTGAATCTGTTTTTTTGCTCTTTAAAATTAAAACATTTGCTCCTGTATCAACTAGGAAAGTTAATGGCATATTATTTTTTCCATTGTGTATTTTGATGAGACTTCTCAGACTTAGATTATATGCAAAAGCTTTATTCATTATTGCTTAAGGGGGATTGTCGGATCTGCTTTTGCTGTCTGGGTCCTCTGTTTGCACCGCATCCATATGAGCCGCCTCGAGGATTGCCTCTGTTATTATTGTGTCTGTTACCATTCTTATTGTTATTTCTGTAGCCGCCTCTGTTGTATGGCATTGAGTAATAAAGAGAAAGGGCAGTCGTTTGGATCAAATGGTCCTTTTAGAAATCTTTCCTAAGCGAAAACGAGGTTGCAAACAAAATTTGCAAGCACAACACACGGCTGTCTGCAGCTACTTCTGCCGATGCACACAATTCAATTTCAAAAAACATTTTCCATAAGAACCAATAACAACCATAATCCAAACAAACGAATCTAAAATGAAAAAAGCACATCACAAATTCTGTCCTTGCTATCCCTTTTTGTTTGAAGCTACAGCCCTTTATTTTAGCTTCTGCATCCTTCTTACTCATTGTTGTGGTTTCTAAGCACTGCTATGTCTATAACTCGCAAAGGCATGTCTTCGTCTTCTCCACTCGCTTTCAACTTGCAAGCTCGGCAGATTTGAATCATTTTTCATTATTCGACCAGCAAGGCACCCTTTCCCAAAATAGGGTATTTTAACTATTCATAAGTGATGCAACTAAATAGCAGAAACCTTCTTATATATACATACATAATATAACATGTTGGTGCGCCGTGCGCGTAACCCTTTGATTTGATACTTGCGAGACTAGGCTCTGCAACAACAATTTAGTACCCAAATTGAGTTGTTGTTATTTCTACGCACTACCTTGTAGGAACAATGGAAAGCAGCAACTAACCAGTAGCATTATCTGTCCCTTTTCTTAACACTGAGTTTTCTATGTTCTAGAAATCTTGCACCAACTTTACAGCGATCAAAACAGACGACTAGAAAAAATTGGGTTTCATGCGCACTGTTGTTGTTTTGAAACTGATTTGTTGTTGCTTCCAATGTTAAAGGGGTTTTATTTGTTGAGTTTCCTGAGCAACCTTAACCACCTTGCGCCAGTCTTAAGCGGTAATAAAAGCTCGGAGTGAATATTCCGCTCTTTATCTGCTTATTACTCTATGGTTGTATAGTTATATAATAATTACCTCTACCACGGTTTCCACCACGATAAGAGTAATTTTGGTAATAAAGGACAGTTTTACTTTTTTCGGTTGCGTCTGTGCAACTATTGACAAATTTGGATATGTTATGGAATGTGTCTGCCTGCATGATAAGTTTTTATCTATAGCTCAGTTCCTGGTCATGGCCTTCACAGCTTGGGCTTTGCTATATTTTGTGGCTTAATATGAATTAAAGCCATCATTAATATAAGCACCTGCTAGAAATTTTGCCAGTTGCTCAACTTCATGTGCATAAATGTTGGCAGCTCTGCTATTTTGCTGTAGGCTTAGGAGTTTAGCCGATAATACTGATTCTGATAAGCTGATAACTGATTCTCTTTTTACCGTTCTTGATAATTTTGATATATTATTATTTTGGTGATTGTTTTTTCATTGCTTCTCAAGTTTCGTGCATGGTATTTTAGTTTTGTCTATAAGACTGACAGCTCTCGCTTCATGATCTTCTTTTAGTGAGTCTAACAAATATTGTTATATTATGCCTTTCCGAAATTCATCTAATATTTTTCTCTTAACGTGCCTAATGCCTCAACTGCCTGTGTTAAATGTTTAGTTTTCTTTTAGTTTTGTTGCATTGTCACTTATAAGTTGACGGCTGATATTGTAGGAATCTACAAAAATTTAAACGTGTTTTCAGTTTGTCTCGTTTGAGACAAGTGCAATTTTGTTAAAACACTTGAAAGATTTATTAAGCTCCTCGCGTTATTTCCAAAGAATGGTAACGATTTGCGTCCATTCCATTTATAGACATTTTTCATTTATCTGTACAAACGCACAATAATAATGTCGGTAGGTCCTAAAATAGGGTGTTCTAATTGTTGTGTGTTTTTTTTAATGCTACAAAATTTAACGTTCTACCTAATATTGGGTTTCTTTAATTACTGATTTCACTTGTATACCAGGAAAATTATTTAATTCTATTCCGTTTTGCGTATATACTTATTGGAGTTGCACTTACTTATTGCTGAACTCTTAACCTATAATGTGAGTCTCGTAAATAAACTTCAGCTATCGCTTTGTTCGTAGTCATTGAGTAGTTAAGAGAGGTCAAAAGTAAAAAGTAATAATCGTTTTTTTTTTCCTATATTTTATCTCAATTGTTTGCACGATTCATATACTTTTTATTTAGGCACCTATTGTGCACTTTGTATAATTTGAAGAAAAGGGTAATGCACATCAGCACTACGATAATTACAAGGAGAACTGTTATTATTCTTAAGTCTGTTCTTTCCGCCTAAACTTTATTAATAAGGTTGGCAGTGAAATCCGCCGTCTTAGTGTCTATTACTCCCATGGTGGACCAAGAGATATGAGTATGGAGTGTGAATAATACCTCCGTTTTAAAGGCTTGAAATAAAAAATTATTGAATAATTGACCTGAAGTTTCAAAGTTTAAATAATTAACTTGTGATATGTAAATAAAAAATGCATCTTTCTTCTTCCATTTGTGTTATAAATAAATTTTATGAAATTAAAAGGAACACTCTGTAGTTTACATTTGCAAATGTCAAGCTTACAATATTTTACTTACGAATGCCAAAGCCGCGGCTTGCTGATGCTGACCAGTGTTGCCATTTATTGAGCAACCAAAAAACCTAGATCTGCTTTAAAAATAAGTGTAAAACAGCTAAATTTTATTCAACAAAATCTGAACGAAAATCTGAACTTTAAAAAGTATTTATATTTTTTCCTCGCAGTCAGATTTTCAAAAAACCCAGATTTGACGGGAAAGAATATGAATTGGAAATTAATTAAATTTAAAGGAATTTTATATGTAAATATTTGCATGGACTTTAAAATACATATTTTTTACGGAGCCAATCTCAGCACAAAACTTGTATTCATATGTTAACACAAATTTGGGATAGTTCATGCTAGCAAACTAAGAAAATTTATTTCTTGGCCATCCAGAGCAGTGGATAACAACACGTTCAAGTTTGTATGTATATTTACAGGCATTTATGAGGCTTTTCAAATTTGTCTTCAAAATTATTTAATTGTCTCGCTAGTGCTGATCATCCCATAACTTTTTATAATAATATGCTTACATTTTTTTTTACCTATATAATCGCACCATTGAGTTGTTGTTGGTCGCAGTATTATGTTTTCTTCGGTGACTATTCTAGCCGAAACATATGGCAATGATCTCAGAACAATGCCTTTTACTGTTTTCGAACAGTGAATCAAAGGACTTGTATTCGTATTAAAGTTCTCTTACTTGAAATTGTGGGTCATTGCTGGTTCTTGTCTCTTTACTCTGCTCTATTTCTCCTCGTTCTTGGTTAATTATTTTGCGTATGGAAAACCAATTCTTTTATGTATATAAGTTAAGTACCCTCATGCTGGCAATGAGGGTCACCTTTTTAATGTGAACAGCGTCCTAGGGATACAGTTAGTGACGAAATAAATATGCCTCGATTGTTTGAGTTAGAGGTTTAGTTTAAGAAGATTTATTGATAATCATCTGGTCAGATTCGTCTCCGGAAATGGAATGAAATTCTGGCTCTTGTCAGAACGGCAGCAAGCCTCTCTGCTGGAGATCGACTGACCCAACGTCGTGCGGTGTCAGATTTCCGGTGGAGCCAGCGCTGCGGATGTTTTGCAATCAGCCCAGCCATTCTGCAGCGCAGGCATAGCGTCAGCGTTGTGGATATTGTTCGTTATGTTGTTGGGCGAGCAAATCTGCGGCGTAGGCATAACTTCGGCGTCGTAGGATATTCTGCAACAATGTAGCCACGCCAGCGCTGCGTGCTCGTGGGCAATGTGACTCGGGCGCAGAAGCTGACGCCGTACATTCAGGAACGGCGTCATTGGAAGTCAGGGTCGTCAAGGAGGGCAGTGTTGGGTGCGAGGGAGGGGCTGCAGTGCTAGGTGTACCACAAGATCTGCGTCCTGCATCACTATGTCTTTGACGTCCTGTATGCGACTCCAACTGCGTAGCGATGTCGTCTGGTTTCGAGTTGGCTTTTGTTGACGTGTTTTTTTCCAAAAGAGATAGAGGGTAACTGCAACGATTAGGATTATCATTGCTTCCGTAAAGAAGGATACCAGTAACTTGCTAGACATGTCGGCTAGTCTATTCAAGTTTCTGATGGTGAAGTCGTGGACATTCCCTAGCGATGGCTCATAACCCGTGGCGGTTACTTTGGTGAATCATATGGGTTGACGAATAGCTGCTGTAGTTCCTGTCGTGAATCGTTACGGTGTCGTTATCAAGTTGGATGAGAAACGTTCCCACCAAGTGGTGTTCTTTTGTCGCGGCGATTACTATCTCATTGAGGTTGGTTAGTGGGCCCGTATCCACCAGAGTTATCTCTTGTTTATTTTCCAGATAATTGCGCGAAGCGTGTCCTCCTCTGGGAATGCAACTATCTTCCTCCAGTTTCTTCAGATCCTTTTCCTGGCAAACTAAGGTGTTGCCGATGGATAGGCAGCGTCCGATGACGGCGTATGTCTCATGGTTATCCATTGCCAATGTGTCGAAATTCAACACCGCTTGCATTTTATTGGTTATTGGGGGAAAACTGTGTATCAGGCTTTATTCCACTTCTGTGACCTTTGGCAAGACGTGAAGGAGTGATGTTCTGTTCATGGGAATTGAGGAACGAGAGAACTCTATCGTTTCGACGACGTTTAATACGGCGAGTATTCCACTTCTGTCAATATCGTTTGTACATATCTTCGTGATCAACTAGGTTTGAGTTGACAACACCGGCCTTTGAGAGTTGATGTGTCCTTATGCTCTCGTTCACTTTATGTAGAATTGCTGTTGTAGCATGCATATTACAGTCGATTGCGTTGACCTTTCCAATAACTTGACTCGTTGGAGTGACTCGTGTGTAGCGTCGAAGAGTAGCGTATTGGCTCTGATTTGTTAATTATTGTTTTGAACGATGTTCTCCTGAGACTTGAGAATGGCGTCCCAATCTGACGTATCCGGTGATTCTGCGACTTATTTCCAAGCTGATCCCTGCCAGTCTATGGATCGCGGCCTTCGTAGTGGCGCAAATGTCCACCGTAGCCTCCCGTAAGTAGTGCAATGTCAGGGTACTGATTTCCGGGTTGGCCACGCGTATTGCTTCTTTTACTATCTCCCCGATGACTCGTTGAATGTTCTCAAGATCGATGACATGGGCCAGTTTAAATATTCCATTGACGCGCTAGACACGTCCCTGTTGGAGAGGAACGATAGGCGCATCGTATTTGAAGATGTGCACGGCTCCCATCGTGTTGATCAGGGATATGCTTGCAACGTGTAAAAGCGCTGAAATTAGAAAATAATTTTTTTTATTCAATGTTTTAAGAACACTTATTTTGTAAAAATGTTTATGTTTAATTGTGTGTTGGGTATGTCTTAACTTAAGTATATTTGTAAAGGAATGTGTTTTTACTATTAGGTAAATTTTAAATTGTTCTAAATATTTCTTATATGTAGTGCAAAAATGTGTAAAAGTGTAGGCGATTTTTTATACGGTTCCATTACTCTTTATTCTTCATATGTTTTTAATTTCCCAAATTGGACTTGTGAAATACCTTCCCTGATTTCGTCTTAACTGTCACTTTCCCGTTTTCTGTACCTCCCCAGGCCTGAAACGTTGTTTTGCTTTTGACTTTATTTGTTTGTTAGCGCTGAAAACTTTATCACCCTGTATAGGTTTCGCTCGTTTCTTATTACAAAAGAGATTAGTCAATAATTGTTTGTGCTTAATTAACACTCTAGCTTTTCTTTAAAATTAGCTAAGCCTTGATAATTTATTCTTGCTGAACGATTAAAGAATATATCCACTGGTTTCGTATTTGTCACCGAGTGAACAGGGTTGTCGTACGTGTCCACGGTTATAGGCACCAGGTCAGTATTCTTGAAAGTAGGATATTCGCTTTTCAAACACCTGTAAGTTTCTAAAAATGTGGAATGAAATTTCTCAATTTGCTCATAGACCCCGCTCTTCAGAGTCGGAGTGTTAAATAACTCAATTTCCAAAGTTCTCAAATAATTCAGAACGGTGGGAGTTAAGAGGCCCCTATCGTTATCAGAAACCATTGTCTTAGGGACTGAGAAATAATGGAGAGCCTCTAATAACTTTTCCCGCAACTAAACCGATGATTTTGATTCAAGCATTCGTGAGCTTGTCTATACAACTCAAATACACCTTTTTCTCCAGTGTGAATATGTCAATATGAAGTATTTCACACGGATAGTTTGGAATAGGGGTTGGCTGTAGTTCTGCTTTATGGAGTGTCGCCCGTATTTGGAAAGCTTACAACACTTACAAGTCGACACCTGAGTACGTTTTGCGCTCGACCCTTTGGGGAAAATTATTCGAATTTTATCCAACTTAAAATTTTCAAAGCAGGTGGTCTGGAAGAATGGGAATTAGACCGTGGGATTTTATACTCCGTTTATTATGGAAGGTTTTAAACACTTTCCTAATGTGATAGTTTGGGAATTGTTTCGTTGTTGATTGGAATGAAATGTCGAACATAACCCATGTGCGGGTACTCGCTTGAATATTTCACCCGCTTTTTGTCAAACATCAATTGGTTCCTAAACTCGTTGATGGGCGTGTCTACGAGTGGTATCAATATGAAGCGTCTTCAAGGGTGCTGTTAACAGTGGCAATCGAATCTGCTTTGGAGGCAGTAGCTGTATCTGAGCCAAATGGTTGTCGAAAGTTGTGATTCGCGAAAACGCATCTGCGACGATATTAGATTTTCTTGGCTTATAAATTAGCTCGCAGTTGTAGTCTTCAATGCGTGACTTCCAACGCTTTAATTTTGCGTTGAAATTCCTATTGCCGAAGGCAAACGTTACGGGTGATGGTCAGTGTATATTCTTATTGAGCCTGCTTCGTACAAATATGATGTTCGATTATCCAATGCCCAGAATATCGCCATCATTTCTTTCTCATTAGTAGCATAACCCTCCTCCGTTCTGTTCAAAGAACGAGAGATGTAAGCAATAGGGCGGTCATTGCCTTGATCGACTTGAGAAAGTGCTGCCCCAATGGCGATGTTTGATGCATCAGTGATCGAATGGAAGGGTTTGCTGAAATCAGGGAATGCAAACACCTCGGATGAAGCAATGATGGCTTTCAAATCGTTAAAAGCCTGTAATGCTTGTTCATCGAGTTCGATGGGTACTTTTTTGACTGAGACGATTTAATTCCAAAAAATTCTCCTCGGGTCAGGTTTGTTTGTTTGGCATAATCACGAATACACTTCCGATAGTCTAAAGACATATCCAGGAAACTTTTTTATTCATTCACGCTTGTAGGGGGTTTCCTTTTAATAACCACATTTACTTTCTTCTCGTCGGCCTTGATGCTATCTGCTTTGACGAACTAACCACGAATTCAACGTGGGTTGAAAGAGACCGCAATTTTTCCAGAATGACATGCAGTTTTGCCTGTGTGAGTTTGTCAAAAACAGCACGGGGATTGATTCAATGGCTATCATAATCTACACTGAAGATAACGTAGGAAATCGAATTTTCCATTAGACGTAGAAAACACCGTTCGCGGAATGTAGGATTCCTTCATAAAAATTTGATGGAATCCTGATGTCAGCTGCACTAAACTCAAGTACAGACATATGTACATATGTACATATGTACACCGGCTCGAGTGCGCGCTTCTCTCTAACGATCTTATCGCGTTATTTAGTAGATCGGCTATTATAACCAAGCAACCAAGATATGCACCAAACAGCATATCAGTGCTAAGCACAACCGTTTGCTTAGAAAAGAAGCCGTCGAGCTGATACCTACATACTTACATACATACATATGAATGTGAATGCAAGTGCCGCTACAATTGATCTAGATACATACACATACACAAGCCGCTGCACACATAAAACGGTAATCGCATTCTCGAACTGCTCACTCTGTGACATTCGCAGTGGTCAAGGGCAAAGCTCTTCTCCATAAGTAAATTTTGGTGACAAGCCAAATGTGTTTCTGTTCAACGCCAACTATTAGCCAGGAAAGAATTCAACAACTATCCCACGCTTTGCTGAAATAACGCACACATTTGCTTACTTGTTCAACGGTAAGTCACGCCTACCGGAATTGCAGCTGCCCAGGTTCAGCGGCTCCTACGAGGATTGGCCGGATTTTTACGCCATGTACAAGACTGTCATTGGCAGCATTGAGGACCTAAGTAAGATTGAGAAATTCCACAATTAAATCGGTAGAGCCTATCGACGTGAATTACGATAATGCGTTGGAGTTCCTCATAAAGTGTTTTGATAATAAGTTGCGACATTTTCAGGGCCAAGTGCGGGCTATAGTCGGGCTGCCAGGTGTTGAAAAGAGATCAGCAGAAGCGTTGCGTGAGTTGAGTGACAAAATTAACTCGTATCTTCGGGCGCTTAGCACCATGTCAACAACTGAGGAGCTGGCTGACGGATTACTCATACACACAATATCGCACAAGCTCGACCAACACACCCAGGAAATGTGGCAGGAGGCGCTTGCAACGGATAAGCTACCCAGGTGGACAGATATATCGGCGTTCTTTTAGAGAAGAGATGCCGCATGATGGAAAACTTGAAAGGCGCTACGGCACCTACGCCTAGCCACCAGGTTACCAGAAATGTACAAAAATTGAATCGTAATACATTCATTGCATCTTCATCTAACAATTACCAGCATAATTGTAATTTTTGCGACTCAAAACAGCATTTTCTTGTTAAATGCCCGTTGTTTTTGAATCTGTCCCCAAGTTTGCGCCACAAGGAGGCCAAGCTATTGCATCTTTGCCTAAACTGCTTGCGCAAAGGCCATGGCTTGCAGCAATGTCGCTCAGGTCACTGCAGGCATTGTCAACAAAAACATCATTCGTTGCTGCACATGAGCCCCATCACAACTCAATCATCTGCCCTGTGTACACCAAGCTTGCAGGCTGCAATCACGATCCAGCCTCAGGCATCGTCTTTAAGTAATCCACCATCTTCAGCTCTCGTCAGCACTGCTCTTGAATTCGAACCTGAAGCCACGAATGCCCAGCCTGTAGACTATGTGCTGCTTCCAACCGCCATCTTATATGCCAAGAGCCACTCAGGTATATTCATACCCTGCCGCGCATTACTGGATTTTGGGTCTCAACTCAACTTGAGTACTGCTCGTCTAGTAAAGCCGCTCCAACTCAAAGCTCATCATGCTGCCGTATCAATATCGACCAAATTCAAATGGCGGATAACCTACAAAGGCTCCAAAAGACCAAGCTCGGATGGATTGCGTCTGGCGGACCCTCTCGCGTACACAACAAACACCCATCCCTTTCAGCCCTTTAAAAGGAACCTAATCCATGGGAGGATCCACTGTCTGATATTGTAAAACGATTCTGGGAAGTCGACAATTGCTGCGGTACAACCCTTGCGCTCTCTGATGAAGACGCACCATGTGAGCAGCTATTTCTCCAAGGCTACACGCGACTAAAGTCAGGGCAGTATTCAGTTAGGCTTCCAGCAAAGCTCAGCTTCGACACGCTTGGAGACTCATATCAACGTGCTCTACGACGTTTCAAGTCACTCGAAAACAAATTGAACAAAAATCACCAGCTGAAGGGAGCTACTCTGTGCGAATACATCGACTTGGGCCACATGTCTTTGGCTTCCAAGCAGCAGCTTGTCCCACAATTCTATTTACCCCACCACTGCGTAGAAAAGCCAGATAGCTCAACCACCATATTGCGCGTCGTTTTTGATGGATCAGCCAAATCCACATCAGGCGCATCTCTGAATGATCTTTTGCATACAGGCCCAGCAATTCAACCCAAATTATTCAACATTCTAATTCATTTTCGTTTTTCGAAGGTTGCCATGTGCGGTGACATCTGTAAGATGTACCGCTGTGTCCGAATAACGCATTCAGATCAATTTCTGCAATGCATCTTATGGCGTGATCACCAAAACGAAAGCATAAGGACCTACACCTTGGATACAGTAATGTATGGAACCAAACTCGCTGCGTTTCTAGCAATTCGAGCGATGCAGCAGCTGGCCCACGACGAAGAGCCAACCTTTCCACTAGCTGCAAAGATAGTTTGTCGCGACTTCTATGTGACTTCTACTTAATTTCTGGAGGGAACTCTATAGAAGAAGCCATTCAGATCTGACAGCAAGTAAAACTGCTACTGGCTAAAGGTCACTTTCCAATCAGAGAGTGGTGCTCAAACGAGCCTGATGCATTAAAAGGAGAAAGCGAATCCGATTGTGAGAAGCTAATGGAGTCCAAGGATGGCACCAACATTGCCAAGGCGCTTGGTTTAGCTTGGAGCCCTAGCTCTGTTAGCCTGCTTTTCAACTTTGCGGAGATCATACCCGAAGGATCAGTCAAAAAGCGGAGCATATTATCAATGATAGCGAGATTTTACGATCCGCTCGGATTGATCGCGGCCATCGTTACCAGGTTAAAGGTATTTTTCCAAGCACAGTGGAAGGAAAGGCTCAATTGGGACGAATGCCTGTCGCAGTCGCTACACTTCGAAGGGATCAAACTCATATCGCAACTCTCATTTGTCAGCAGCTTGAAATTCTCCCGTTTTGTATTAATGCTGCTGGCTACGTATGAGCTGCATGGATTTTGCGACACCAGCACAGCCGCTTATGGTGCTTGCGTCTTTGTCAGATCCGAAATGCAAGGGGTATTTTCACCACATTTGCTATGCTCTAAATCAACGGTCGCCCCATTAAAGACGTTGACAATCCCAAAGCTTGAGCTGGCAGCTGCACTTTTATTATCAGAGCTCATAGGAAACATTGCCGAATGCATTCAGTTCGAATGCAGATATCATTGCTGGACCGACTCAACAGTAGCGCTTGCATGGATTCGAGATTCACCTTCAAACCTTCAAACACTTCGCCGAAGAGTACAAAGCACTCCGCTTAAAAAGGCCGCTTCCAACAAGAAGCAAACTTCGTTTATGTTGCCCACTTTTGGACGCTGAGGGACTCTTGCGCATCGGCGGACGCCTTCAGAACACAAACTTGGAATATGAACCAAAGCATCCGTTATTGTTGCCTAAACGCCACCCAGTCACCGCAGCTATGATCACATATTATCATTTGGAATTTCTTCATGCTGGTCCGCAATTTCTTCTAGCAACACTCCGCCAGCGATACTGGCCCATTGGAGGTCCCAAGGCTGTCTTAAATATCATGAACAGGTGCGTGTGCTGCTTTCGAATGCGACCTAAACAGGAGCAAGTCATGGCCCCGCTACCAGCTGAGCGTGTGCAACCAAGTCCGACGTTTCACGTAACTGGCATCGACTTTTGCGGTTCTTTCTACGTCAAATCAGAGGTCAGGAATCGCTCACCAACGAAATGCTACATCTCAATTTTTATATGCTTTGCAACGAAAGCAACGCAT